ATGAGTCAATGGAATGAAATGGCAATATGATAAGCAAGAAAAAGATTCTCTCTAGATACTATAATTCTGAAACATTTTCACATATGCACGGATTGTCTGTAAATATGTGCCCATCTTAAAAATACCTTGATAAAGATTAGATTTTCTAATATTGAAAACACTATACTTCATTTGGCAATATTCTAAGCTTTATGATCAAAAACATAAATCCTGACCCTGAGCTTTATACTGTTAACTCTTCCTGTCTGAATTAACAAACCAGGTGTGATCAGTTACCGCTCATGTTTATGAAGTAACATATATCTTTTGGTTTGAAAATTCTGAGGAAACCTGGCCAGATATTTTCAGTTACACTACAGAATATGCTGTGACACTGAAAATAATGCGCTCATGCTCTTTTTTCACTAGTTAATCTGCTGCTAAATGCTGCAGGAAGGGTTAATTATAGAAAGTCTATAGAGCAAGGTGAACAATACATGTCGACACAAAATTGTCAGGTTTTATATTTTCAATTAAAAAGACTTCATTTTGCAGTTAACTCATTTAGTACCAAGCAGCTCAATGGGTGTTTACTTGTGACTCATTTATTTATGCTTTAACAAAAACAAAATCTTTATTTTCATCTGTTTCATTAACCTCTTCTCTTCTTCTTCATGTTCACCAGCTGTAAACTCCGGTAGAAAGTTCTGGTTGTTTGTCCACTTCTAGACTTTAGTCTTGTTCCAGAACCTTAGCTTTGCAAGCACACTCATTTTACACATCTGGCTTATTTGTATGCAGACTGCTAGTTCCTCCTCTCTCAGGAAGATACAACTTGACTTTAAAGAAGTTGCATTAACCCATTTTGTACTGGTTTATACTTTAACTTATGTTATCCTGTGTTTTATTATTTGAACCTTTCAAAATCATGTTACAATTTTGGCCACAAATGCTTCAAATAGGACAGGTTAAATTAACACTTATCTGAAGCTGAAAGAGTTAATTCACATTCAAGTTATACATGTGAGTTAGAAAAATAGGTCTATAAAATCAGTTGCAAAACCCATGTCAGAGAAGTCTTCACAAGTCATATATAGTTCAGATAAGGCAAAGACTGTGTAGGCAAAACATCAGAAAATCTAAATTTGTGGGTTTTCCCATTTAACATAAGGAGCATTTGAAAGCATATTTTGCATATTTTGTTAATAAATTTGACTATATCACTTTGACTTGGAATGTTTTTTTTTTTAAAAATAAGGCACATGCAAATTTGCAGTATTTCAATTTTTAATAATGGGCTTTCAATTCTGGTCTTTCAATTTGTTAAAAATCTGGATGGTTACTAAGACAAGATAGCAATATGAAGATATGTTAAAGATAAAGATCTCAAAGGATAAAAAATTGTATTTATAACTTGTTCATCCCAGTGATTGTTTATGTAAATATTAACAATGTTAAAAGATAGTGCTGTGTTTATGTTCAACATGATGTTAAATAAAAACTAACGATTTTCAATGTCAGGTTTACTGATCATTGTGAGAGCAATTAATATTATGAAGATGTGAAACTATTGCACCGGATATTTGACTGACTACATTTAAGGGTCATCTTCAATGGCCTAAAGAGTATGCATCAGTGCTTTAGTCTCCTTCTTGTTTCTTTTTTGTTTCTAGGTAAATATAGGAGTTTCTAGGCATAACATGGAGAATTAGACATCACAAATTGGTAAGCTTCGAAGTTATTTCTGACAGCGCTTTGCTAATGCAGTTTGCACAGATCGATGGAAGTCTAGTTTCGCTGCCTGAGCTACGAGTTTAGTGCTTAGTGCAGCCCTGTGAGCTGTGTTTTTCATGTGGAATGCCTTTGATTTGTGCAGCGGTTGTGTCGTCGTATTAAAAATGGTAGGTAGTCAGTTTACGTGTAGGCTGTTTGAATACCTTAATCATGTAATAACTTTACGTGTTTATAGCCATTTTATTGTGACTGAGTACTTCAATCGATGACAAATTGAATTTCTGGTGGCAACTGTTGGCTTTGGTGTTCTAGCAACTGCGATATGCATTTACCTCATCCACAGATTTCTGGATTTTGCCAGGACAGTTGTTTCTTTCATCAGTTTTCAAACGGGACAGCAGGGGACATTTCGTTTTGATTTTCATTGGGATAGGAATGGAGCAAGTAGGGGTGATCTGAATGCAATGAAGTTGAAATCTCGACTACAACTGCTATGACTATGACACTTGAAGTTCATAGCACTGGTGAGTATCGGATATGTGGATACCAAAATCACAGTACTCTGTCACAGTATGTTCTTTAATTTTGAAATTTATTACATCTCTGTTAACTTAAGCAGCTGACAAGGTTGGATAGCATAGCATACATCTAGATAAATAATATGTGCCAGAATCTTTGAGTTTAATTAAAAATCGACATCACAGCATTCGAGGCATTCCCATAGGTGCTTCGTCTCCATCTTCAGCAGCAAAGGCAATTTTTTGAGTTTGATGCCAAAGTAGGAACTTCTGGACTTCAGTCTTGTTCTAGAACTTGAATTTTGCATGCACATCTGATTTACATATCTTATTTACTTGAATGCTGACTGTTGGTTCCTTGCCGCTCAGAAAGATGCCCTCCGACTTTGAAGGAGATGCGGATTCAAACCAAAAAACCTTCTGACCAACTGGCAACTTCTAGACTGCATCAGATCTGGCAAGACATGTCAAATTATATGCATACAGAAAAAAAATATATCTTTTCAAAATTCTTTATTCGCTCTTAAAAGAGCATTTGTTCATAGTTTACAACTAGGCTGCAGCATTTGCGCCTTTCACTCAACACATCAGATCTCCACACTTTCTTAAAGGCTCACCTTTATTGACATCTTGTTAGGGAGCAGCGGGTCTATTCTAAATCGCACTTTAAGAATGGGCACCACTGGGAAATTATCTTTTAATATGCACTATCCATTCCTGGCTACCAAACGGGTGGATACGCTTTAATTCACAAACCCAGAGAATGCAGCAAAATAATATAAAGAAAATATATGTATATTTACTTGTGTATACTAAAAAGAACTTGCAAAATCTGAGCAAATATGAATAGCAAGCTATACAGTAATAGTTATTTGTTGCATCTGGTTTTTTTCTCTGCTGAATGAAAATGGCAAGAATAGATGGAAAACATAATTGTCAATGCATAAAGTACATTTATATTTTGTCATTTAATGAAATTGTGAGCTAAAGATACAGATAAAGAACAAATATGAACAATATTCTACGTCTATTTAAATCATTATCATTAGACATAAATGTAATTTATATGTACAATAACATAAATACAAATAAATGCATATGTGTATAGCAGAAATGTATCTTCATTTCTTTATATAAGGGAGTATAGACACATATGTACAAACATACATATGTGCAGTAATCACTATATTTTCCTAAGTATAAGACTCACTTATTTTCCAAAAATATAGGGTCTAAAAACTGTGTGCATCTTACACAACAGTAGTAGATTTTATAAAAACATATTATGTTTTTTGCTCTAAATTTTCAGTCGCAATATCAAGCTGCGTATTATACATTAGACTGCCTTATACTTGGGGAAGTACAGTAATTAAAATTTCTATGCAATATTTCAGATATGACTATTTCAGTGGAATGTGTGAAGTAATATATACAAGAGATGTACAGAAAATTATGGCACATATGCAAAACAAATGCAGTCTACAACTTGTACAGGTTATCTGAAAATAGATCATGATTATGAAAGGAAGATATCTGAGGAATGTATGAAGAAAGTAAGGCTTTAAAGAACATACTGCAGATAAACATGAAAGAAGACCTCCGGGCAAACAGTCAAGAGCACATCACAATGTATTCAGAAAGATTGCTTGGTATCAACATTTTACGGCAGTAAAGTTTTCTCTAGTAACTTTTCCAGTGTTGAAAAATTAAACAAGACCAATACTCAATTAATCCTTTTTAGTGTTCATCACTTATTTCATGAGCAGCTACAACGAGTTCTCATGTGTGGGACCTAGAATCAAACCCTCTGTAAGGTGAAGAACATCCCCCCCACCCCCCACTTGGGGCAAAAATAAAAACCCTAACCGGCATAGTTTGTGGTGACAGCCCAAGTCATCGGCCCTAAATCCTCAGCCTGAATACTCACTATCCTACACAAGGTCAAAACAACAAATACCGCCAGTAATGATGTTTCTCCTTCTGTTTACTCAAGTTACTGGGATTCTGGAATATCTAATAAAGATTGCTCTCTGTAGCTCTGCCCAGCCTCTCAAAAGACGAAGGGTGTATGCCGTATGTCTCCTCAGAGCTGCGTTCAAAAGACGAAGGGTGTATGCCATATGTCTCCTCAGAGCTGCGTTCAAAAGACGATGGGTGTATGCCGTATGTCTCCTCAGAGCTGCGTTCAAAAGACGAAGGGTGTATGCCGTATGTCTCCTCAGAGCTGCGTTCAAAGGACGAAGGGTGTATGCCGTATGTCTCCTCAGAGCTGTGTTCAAAAGACGAAGGGTGTATGCCGTATGTCTCCTCAGAGCTGCGTTCAAAAGACGAAGGGTGTATGCCGTATGTCTCCTCAGAGCTGCGTGCAGGAGATTGTTCGTCTGAAAGAATATGTACTACCATCACTTCTGCTAGGTTTCAATGGCAGAAGCATAGCAATTTCTCATATGCTGGTGGGACATCAATTCACTAATGTTATTAAACTGTCATTTATTTGTTTAATGTGCCCAAAATACTACAATTAATTTAAAAGTGTCACCTTCTAAACACTTCATAGATATTAAATCACAGTATCAAGAGGACAGGATATCCCCTTTTACTTCTTTGCCACCTTCACTTCAACAGATTTGAGAAACAGTAACCTGTGTGTGTACATCAAAGTAAAGGTGAAACTCGTTTTGAATGAACCATGATAACCATAAAAGTTAAGCCAAGCCCCCCCCCCCCCCCCCCCCCCCCCCACAGTGAGAGATGTGAAAATAGTCAGCTTCAGGTCTGCACAAGACGGCTCATGTAGAATGAGCACTTGGAACAATAGGCCTTCCCCATGTCAACTTCTCTCTTGTGACACAAATGACATGCCAGTTCATCCCTCACCATTGGTATGTCATCACTGTTACTGCTGTCTTCTATTTCGTCATCCAGATCATTGTCAGAGAAAGCTGTGGTTTTCATTTTAAAATTATCATCATCATCACTGAAATAAGCCCTATCATTGACACCAGCGCTAGCAGAAAATGATGTCAATTCTGCTGCTGATTCATACCCGGCAGCATAATTTGAGATGTTCTCAGCAAAGGTCACGGACTTTCTTGGTGCTTTACTGTTTTTATTTTTCTTGCTCTTTAGAACTGATTTTGGTTTCTTACTGCCAGACTCAGATCTGCTTCTGGTTCTTAACAGACTCAGCAAACTAGGTTTAGGTTTAATGGCAGGTTTTTCAAGAGCTGGATCAAATCTGGAAGCAAGTGCTCGGACATTAGGCTTTGGTTCCACATCATTCTGGAAGTCAGCACTTGTATGTGAATGTATGGAAAGGTTATTCTGTTTTTGAGGTATGTCAGAAATCAGTTGCAAATTCTTGGTGACTCCATCTCCCTGAAGAAGAAAAAAAAATAAATAATTTGAAACATGTAATTACATTTTGTAAAAATCTGGTCAAGAAAGTTTTAAAGAAATGTTACTACTATGTTTAAATGAGTGCCGTAACTATGTTATATCTACGTGGTATATGTAGGTAACTATTTAAACCACATTAATCCCCAAATTGCACTGTTACACAAACAAGGTTATCTCCCAGAATAATCCAACCAACACCTTGTCTTTAAACACCTTCCCCAGTCCAATCTCAGAGAAAAGCCAGTACAATTTTCTCCAGCAAATACTCGCTCCATGATTCCCTAAAACATATGCAGTGGACATGTACCTTAAAGGGAATGGCACTGGGCTACCAAAAGTAGATAACAAGTAACCTTGGGAAAAGTTAGTAGCGCACATGTGCATGACTGCATGCACACACACACACACATCCCCCCAATAAAAGCATTATTATTCGGGGTGGGGGGGGGGGGTGGACTGGCTACCAGACTGGATATGGCGTGGCCAGGAATGTGTGAAGGTCTACTCATCACACTCCAAGGATAGGTCTGCCTTTGCCTTTAAAGTATAAATACAAAACAAAGTTAGTTGCGTATTCTTTACAGGACTTGTGCAGAACCAACCCCAGCATTTGTTTGCTGTCACAGTTTTTCTAGGCAAATTTCACATTCAATAGGTTACCACTGCTTTCTAAACAATCAGCTCTTGGTGCCCCTGTCGAAACCAATGCAAGACAAATTGTCCGCAGCTATGATTTAACCCAGCACCCTTGCATTACAAAGCATGTTTGCAATGCCTAAACCATAGACACCAAACCCAAAAGTAAGCCTTTCCTCAAAATGGTATCATCCTGCCTCATAGAATAAGAAAATTGTATTGATATAAATCAATGCAAGTGATGCTGCAGATGACAAACACAAAATGATTTTAGTAGTACAATACTATTCAAGCACATATAAGTTTTACTCGGAGATATGTTTGGCTATTGGGATTGGGGGGAGAGGGGAGGGGGAGAACAGAAGGTAAAAAGGAAAGTAAAGGATCCTTATCCATGTCTTGATGGTGTATTGGGCATATAGGCTACACCAGTGGTCAGCAACATCTTGATGGTGTATTGGACATATAGGCTACACCAGTGGTCAGCAACGTCTTGATGGTGTATTGGGCATATAGGCTACACCAGTGGTCAGCAACGTCTTGATGGTGTATTGGGCATATAGGCTACACCAGTGGTCAGCAACGTCTTGATGGTGTATTGGACATATAGGCTACACCAGTGGTCAGCAACGACTTGATGGTGTATTGGGCATATAGGCTACACCAGTGGTCAGCAATGACTTGATGGTGTATTGGGCATATAGGCTACACCAGTGGTCAGCAATGACTTGATGGTGTATTGGGCATATAGGCTACACCAGTGGTCAGCAACGACTTGATGGTGTATTGGGCATATAGGGCTAGACCAGTGGTCAGCAATGTCTTGATGGTGTATTGGGCATATAGGCTACACCAGTGGTCAGCAACGACTTGATGGTGTATTGGGCATATAGGCTACACCAGTGGTCAGCAATGAATTGATGGTGTATTGGGCATATAGGGCTAGACCAGTGGTCAGCAACAACTTGATGGTGTATTGGACATATAGGCTACACCAGTGGTCAGCAATGTCTTGATGGTGTATTGGGCATATAGGCTACACCAGTGGTCAGCAACGACTTGATGGTGTATTGGACATATAGGCTACACCAGTGGTCAGCAATGTCTTGATGGTGTATTGGGCATATAGGCTACACCAGTGGTCAGCAACGACTTGATGGTGTATTGGGCATATAGGCTACACCAGTGGTCAGCAATGTCTTGGTGTATTGGGCATATAGGCTACACCAGTGGTCAGCAACGACTTGATGGTGTATTGGGCATATAGGCTACACCAGTGGTCAGCAATGACTTGATGGTGTATTGGGCATATAGGCTACACCAGTGGTCAGCAACGTCTTGATGGTGTATTGGGCATATAGGCTACACCAGTGGTCAGCAACGTCTTGATGGTGTATTGGGCATATAGGCTACATCAGTGGTCAGCAATGACTTGATGGTGTATTGGGCAAATAGGCTACACCAGTGGTCAGCAACGTCTTGATGGTGTATTGGGCATATAGGCTACACCAGTGGTCAGCAACGTCTTGATGGTGTATTGGGCATATAGGGCTAGACCAGTGGTCAGCAACGTCTTGATGGTGTATTGGGCATATAGGCTACACCAGTGGTCAGCAAACTCTTTAGGTAAAAAAGTCACAAATCAGCAGCAGGACCATTAACATTTTTTGAGAGCCAAATTTCTTTTCAAGAACCTGTTAAGAACCATGTTTTTGAGAGTCAAAACCTTCTTGTGGCTGACTGGCCGGGCCACACTCAGGTCGCTAAAGAACCGCATGCGGCTTGCGAGCCGTGATTTGCCGATCACTGGACAAGACCTACATTTTATAGACCAATCCACACTTGGTGGGTGATGTGGTCAGCATCATGCCAGCCGCCTTTACTTTCCAGGACTGCACCTGGTACACACTCAAGGCTGGGTCAACCTGGAAGCCAGTCTTCTTTTTTTAAAGTCTGGCTCCGTCAGGACCGAAACCCAAGACCTTTTGATATGCATTCGAGCACCTAACCCACTAAGAGATAAGGGTGCCATACCAGCAAGGGAAAGAATCAGAGGGAGGGACACTACACAGGAAAGAGAGAGAATCACAAACAGGGAAGAGAGAGACAGAGCACTGTAAACAGGGAAGAGAGAAAGAGAACCAATAGACAAGTGAGATATAGAGAATAACAGGAAAAGGGGTTTCATGCAGGATTAATATGTGAAGTTAAAATATTAAACAGTTTGATTTCCCAGAGAACTGATTCCAATTTGTTGTTTTTATCTACTTCAGATTTTCATAAAGCTTCCAATGTAAGATATTCATTATTAAATCAATATTTTCTTTTCATCTACTTCACTGCCTAAATTAAATCTTCCCTAACAGATTTTTAATTAGATCTCTTGCTAAAGGTTCAGAATAAAATCTTTCCGACTGGTTGGGCTCTGCTGTGTCTATGAATCGCCTTGTGGAATTTGTGTTGCTGTTGGCATCTTTCTATCTTTCTAGATGATAGCTTATCATACTGTGTTATAGGAGGATATGGGAATCACAGCCCATGGCAATGGTGAGTGTGACTAGCAAGACCTGATCAAGTTAAGACAAGTCTTCCACAATAAAAGCATGAGATTTCAGGACCAATGTTATTTTAACATGTATTTAATTTAATTGTGGAGGCTTAGTGGTCTCGAGGTGTGGCCTTCACCTCGAGTGTTGGGGGTCTTGGATTCATACCCAGTGAAGACTGGGATTTGTTAACCTGGGCTTCTAGTAATTTGCCCTGGTCTGTGGGTAGTAAGACCGGACGCTTGTGTGTATTGTTGCGCACGTAAAAAAAAAAAATACCTTGGCAATTGGAAATCAAAAAAAGAGTAACCTAACTGCGCTGCCCTGGCAAAATTTTGAGTTAAAAATCTACCAAAGTATTTCAGGATCCTCTCCGATGTTACGGAGTTCATGCACTCTTCTGAATCAGGTTTGACTTAGAAGTAGAACGAAGCACTTATTGGTTACACCCGTGTGCCGTGATGTTGATCCGTTAAACAAACATAAACATAATGTACTTCTTCTAAGACATGTCCATGTCCGTGTCTTTGGTATTGTGATTGCAAGTAGCAATGCCTGGTTCAATCTCAGCTGCAGGCAGTTTGGCAGCAGACTGCCTTGCATTAGTTTTGACACTGGTATCGAGAGTTGACTGTTCAGGAAGCAATGGCAAACTCATCATTCATCAATCAACAAGTCCTTTACAGAATGTCGCTCTCCTCATGGCATGCCTGAAAGTATCCCTCTCCATAGCCAGCTCTCCAGCCCCATGTGCTTTCAATGCCAATGTATCTTCAATGTCCTGTATCCATCTTTGGGGAGGTCTACCCCTGTCTCGCTTTCCACAAAGCCCTCATCACCATCAATGGCAAACTATTGGACGTAAATTTGCCTAGAAAAACCACAACAGCCACACAGACACACAAATGCTGGGCTTGCTTCTGCAACGTCCTGTAAAGGATACACAACTAACTTCTCAGACATTCAGTTCTGAACCTGCAATAATTTTCACCTTTATACTTATTTCTGATTTTCTGCTTTCCTGTAACACTGTCCATGGTATTTTGTTCACAGCACAAAGCCTGGGCAATATTGTCTTGCACAAACCTTCACATAATGAAGGTTCTTTCATAAAAACTGTACCACTTCCAGCTTTGTTGAGTTGAGTCAAGAATTGACATGACAGCACTCGGGGCATTCCGATGTGTGCACCATCCTCATCTTCAGCCGCCAGCGCAGAGTTCCAGTACTGATGGTACCGGTCACAATCTGGTTATATGACAGTCTTGCTTTTCCTCTAAGGGTAGTGAGCCGGCCAGACCCTCTGGTTACACCCAGGTGCGTCATTCTCTTCAGGTCATAATAATCTTGTTTCTCTACTGATTCCATTGCTTGTTCCCAAAAGGCCTTGACATCTGCCTTGTCCTGTCTCAATTCACCACCTTTGTTATGATTCTCTTATCTCCATCTTGCATGAATGATACGTACACCTAGAGTTCATGTGAAACCTGTTTGTGCCTTCAGCGAGTAACTGCCAGCATTGACCATGATCATGCTACAGTCATATCACAAGTACTGACCAATAAATAATAGAGCATGTGCTTATTGACCATTGATGCACAGATTCTGTGTCTGACCACTGAGATAATGTCCAGGTTCATCCAAAATCTCTTATGCAGTATACAATGTGAAAAACACAGTAAGCAGGAAAACATCGCGTGGCAAATAAAATAAGCTGAGTTAACAAGCAAAGCAGTGATAACAGGAAGCAATTAAAAATCATACAAAATGTATGCCAACAAAGCAGACAGCAGAAAAATGAACGAAAAACGTATATTTGTTATCATCCGGTACTTACAGATCTAGCATTAGCACTACTGATCAGCGTGTGGCCTTGAGCGAAAGCGGAAGGGTAGAGATCTGTGGCAGCGACAGAAGAAAATGTTTTGAAATTAACTGAATAACATTTAAGATGCATTATGCTAGAAGAATATTATTCGCATTCAGGGACACAGCATTCCTAGCCAGTGTATACTTTATAAATCCCACCTGCCAAGTGTTATGTTAATTTGTACAATACGGTGAGAGGTGCATTTGCTAGAAAATATGACATGAACAAGGACTAGATTTTACAGCAACTGGCTACGTAAGAGGAAACTTGGTTACACAGAGGGTAATGCTTTGTTTGACCATCACAGTAGCCTGGATTCAGTCTTCAGTTTGTATTGAATTATTTATGCTGATTGCATACTACTCTCAGTTGAAATGCCTTTATAACATGGGTAAACCAGAGGGTCTGGCCGGCTCACTACACTCAGAGGAAAGGCAAGATGAACATTTAACCAGAGTGTAACCGGTACCATCAGTATTGGATCTCTGCGTTGGCTGCTGAAGATGAGGACGGAGCATGCATTGGAATGCCCCGAGTGCTGTGATGTCAATTCCTGACTCAGCTCAACTCAACTATAACATGGCTACCATGGGTGTCTCTGATAAGAAAATGTGACAAGGAATGGATGTGTGCACTCCATTTAATAATTCCGCAACTAGTAGTAGTAATTTTTCAAAAATATCATGTTAAGCCTCAGGGTTATAATTGGGATAAATAGTGCTAATGAGTTCTCAGAGAATACATTTGTTTTTTTTTTAAACGTTTATACCATGTAATTATTTATGTGACAAAATTGTATTTGTATTCTTTCACATTCTACTTTGATTTTGGTTGAGATGATGATAGAAACTGGGTTACGAGTAATTAGTAGGGCTGTACCGAATATTCGTTTTGTATTCGCTTCGGGGCCGAATAGTGGACCTAATAACTATTAGGTATTCGGCTGAATACTTGCGGTAATGCCAAATACGAATAGTGGTTAACTTACACCCGTTTCTGCACACACTGCGATGGACTGAAATAACTCTCTCATTAACACAATAGTTGCTGTTGCCTAAGTCTGTCGTAGTGGGGGAAACTGCGGCCCGGTTGTGGGGCACAGCAGCTAGCAAGGTCTTTGCATGCTGACTCAACCGAGGCATTACAAAAGAGGTTCTCAAACTGGGTGTGCATGCCAGGGATACCGCCGCGAAAATCAAGAAAAGTCGGCTAGAAATTGTGACATTATTAAAGAAGGAATGAAGATACTAATAGGTTAAAATTTAAATTGTCTTTCCTCGCCCCTGCTGAAAAGTTTTTTTTTCCCCGTGTTTCATACTCAAAGTGTATCATACTGCATAAACTGCCAACCACAGCGTGCTAAATATAAACAATTTCTTGAGGCCTCAAAGATGTGGTTTTACAGAACAATGCTTAAAATACTAAGTAGGTAGGTGAGTCTTTTACTTGCCTCTCTTTGACTTGCCTCTACACCCCAAGATAGAAGAGGGTCGACTAAGTAGGTAAGTAAGTTTTTGACTTGCCTCTACACCCCAAGATAGAAGAGGATCGACTTATTAGGTAAATAAGTCTTTTACTTGCCTCTACACCCCAAGGTAGAAGAGGGTCGACTAAATAGGTAAGTAAGTCTTTTACTTGCCTCTACACCCCAAGGTAGAAGGGCTTGGAATTAAGTATGTCCGAAAATTCTGTTTTGCTTTTATTTAAACTATAAATGAACACTATATATTTTAGTCTTTTACTCGCCTTTGCACTACAAGGTAGAAGAATATCAACTAAGTAAGCAAGTACTCGCCTCTACACTTTAAGGTAGAAGAGGACTGACTAAGTAAGTAAGTAAGTCTTTTACTCGCCTCTGCACTCCAAGGTAGAAGAATAAGAAGTAAGTAAGTTACTCGACTCTACACCCCAAGATAGAAGAATATCAACTAAGTAAGTAAGTTACTTGCTCTACACCACAAGATAGAAAAATATCAACTAAGTAAGTAAGTTACTTGCTCTACACCCCAAGATAGAAGAATATCGACTAAGTAAGTAAGTTACTTGCTCTACACCACAAGATAGAAGAATATCAACTAAGTAAGTAAGTTACTTGCTCTACACCCCAAGATAGAAGAATATTGACTAAGTAAGTAAGTTACTCGCCTCTACACCCCAAGGTAGAAGAATATTGACTAAGTAAGTAAGTTACTCGCCTCTACACCACAAGATAGAAGAATATTGACTAAGTAAGTAAGTTACTCGCCTCTACACCCCAAGGTAGAAGAATATTGACTAAGTAAGTAAGTTACTTGCTCTACACCACAAGATAGAAGAATATTGACTAAGTAAGTAAGTTACTCGCCTCTACACCACAAGGTAGAAGAATATTGACTAAGTAAGTAAGTTACTTGCTCTAACCACAAGATAGAAGAATATTGACTAAGTAAGTAAGTTACTTGCTCTACACCACAAGATAGAAGAATATTGACTAAGTAAGTAAGTTACTTGCTCTACACCACAAGATAGAAGAATATCAACTAAGTAAGTAAGTTACTCGCCTCTACACCCCAAGGTAGAAGAATATTGACTAAGTAAGTAAGTTACTCGCCTCTACACCCCAAGATAGAAGAATATTGACTAAGTAAGTAAGTTACTCGCCTCTACACCACAAGATAGAAGAATATTGACTAAGTAAGTAAGTTACTCGCCTCTACACTACAAGATAGAAGAATATTGACTAAGTAAGTAAGTTACTCGCCTCTACACCCCAAATATTTGACTAAGAATATTGACTAAGTAAGTAAGTACTTTGCTCTAACCACAAGATAGAAGAATATTGACTAAGTAAGTAAGTTACTTGCTCTAACCACAAGATAGAAGAATATTGACTAAGTAAGTAAGTTACTTGCTCTACACCACAAGATAGAAGAATATTGACTAAGTAAGTAAGTTACTTGCTCTAACCACAAGATAGAAGAATATTGACTAAGTAAGTAAGTTACTCGCCTCTACACCACAAGATAGAAGAATATCAACTAAGTAAGTAAGTTACTCGCCTCTACACCCCAAGGTAGAAGAATATTGACTAAGTAAGTAAGTTACTCGCCTCTACACCCCAAGGTAGAAGAATATCAACTAAGTAAGTAAGTTACTCGCCTCTACACCCCAAGATAGAAGAATATCAAGTAAGTAAGTAAGTTACTCGCCTCTACACCCCAGGATAGAAGAATATCAACTAAGTAAGTAAGTTACTCGCTCTACACCCCAAGATAGAGATAGAAGAATATCAACTAAGTAAGTAAGTTACTCGCCTCTACCCCAAGGTAGAAGAATATTGACTAAGTAAAGTAAGTTACTTGCTCTACACCCACAAGATAGAAGAATATTGACTAAGTAAGTAAGTTACTTGCCTCTACACCCCAAGATAGAAGAATATTGACTAAGTAAGTAAGTTACTTGCTCTAACCACAAGGTAGAAGAATATTGACTAAGTAAGTAAGTTACTTGCTCTACACCACAAGATAGAAGAATATTGACTAAGTAAGTAAGTTACTTGCTCTACACCACAAGATAGAAGAATATCAACTAAGTAAGTAAGTTACTCGCCTCTACACCCCAAGGTAGAAGAATATTGACTAAGTAAGTAAGTTACTCGCCTCTACACCCCAAGATAGAAGAATATTGACTAAGTAAGTAAGTTACTTGCTCTACACCACAAGATAGAAGAATATTGACTAAGTAAGTAAGTTACTTGCTCTAACCACAAGATAGAAGAATATTGACTAAGTAAGTAAGTTACTTGCTCTACACCACAAGATAGAAGAATATTGACTAAGTAAGTAAGTTACTTGCTCTACACCACACAAGAAGAATATCAACTAAGTAAGTAAGTTACTCGCCTCTACACCACAAGATAGAAGAATATCAACTAAGTAAGTAAGTTACTCGCCTCTACACCACAAGATAGAAGAATATCAACTAAGTAAGTAAGTTACTCGCCTCTACACCACAAGATAGAAGAATATCAACTAAGTAAGTAAGTTACTCGCCTCTACACACCAAGGTAGAAGAATATTGACTAAGTAAGTAAGTTACTCGCCTCTACACCACAAGATAGAAGAATATCAACTAAGTAAGTAAGTTACTCGCCTCTACACCACAAGATAGAAGAATATCAACTAAGTAAGTAAGTTACTCGCCTCTACACCACAAGATAGAAGAATATTGACTAAGTAAGTAAGTTACTCGCCTCTACACCACAAGATAGAAGAATATCAACTAAGTAAGTAAGTTACTCGCCTCTACACCACAAGATAGAAGAATATCAACTAAGTAAGTAAGTTACTCGCCTCTACACCACAAGATAGAAGAATATTGACTAAGTAAGTAAGTTACTCGCCTCTACACCACAAGGTAGAAGAATATCAACTAAGTAAGTAAGTTACTCGCCTCTACACACCAAGGTAGAAGAATATCAACTAAGTAAGTAAGTTACTCGCCTCTACACAACAAGGTAGAAGAATATCAACTAAGTAAGTAAGTTACTCGCCTCTACACACCAAGGTAGAAGAATATCAACTAAGTAAGTAAGTTACTTGCTCTACACCACAAGATAGAAGAATATCAACTAAGTAAGTAAGTTACTCGCCTCTACACACCAAGATAGAAGAATATCAACTAAGTAAGTAAGTTACTTGCTCTACACCACAAGATAGAAGAATATCAACTAAGTAAGTAAGTTACTTGCTCTACACCACAAGATAGAAGAATATCAACTAAGTAAGTAAGTTACTCGCCTCTACACCACAAGATAGAAGAATATCAACTAAGTAAGTAAGTTACTCGCCTCTACACACCAAGGTAGAAGAATATCAACTAAGTAAGTAAGTTACTTGCTCTACACCACAAGATAGAAGAATATCAACTAAGTAAGTAAGTTACTCGCCTCTACACACCAAGGTAGAAGAATATCAACTAAGTTAGTAAGTTACTTGCTCTACACCACAAGATAGAAGAATATCAACTAAGTAAGTAAGTTACTCGCCTCTACACCCCAAGGTAGAAGAATATTGACAAAGTAAGTAAGTTACTCGCCTCTACACCCCAAGGTAGAAGAATATTGACAAAGTAAGTAAGTTACTTGCCTCTACACACCAAGGTAGAAGAATATCAACTAAGTAAGTAAGTTACTCGCCTCTACACACCAAGATAGAAGAATATCAACTAAGTAAGTAAGTTACTCGCCTCTACACCACAAGATAGAAGAATATCAACTAAGTAAGTAAGTTACTCGCCTCTACACCACAAGATAGAAGAATATCAACTAAGTAAGTAAGTTACTCGCCTCTACACCACAAGATAGAAGAATATCAACTAAGTAAGTAAGTTACTCGCCTCTACACCACAAGATAGAAGAATATCAACTAAGTAAGTAAGTTACTCGCCTCTACACCACAAGATAGAAGAATATCAACTAAGTAAGTAAGTTACTCGCCTCTACACCACAAGATAGAAGAATATCAACTAAGTAAGTAAGTTACTCGCCTCTACACACCAAGGTAGAAGAATATCAACTAAGTAAGTAAGTTACTCGCCTCTACACAACAAGGTAGAAGAATATCAACTAAGTAAGTAAGTTACTCGCCTCTACACACCAAGGTAGAAGAATATTGACTAAGTAAGTAAGTTACTCGCCTCTACACACCAAGATAGAAGAATATCGACTAAGTAAGTAAGTTACTCGCCTCTACACCCCAAGGTAGAAGAATATTGACTAAGTAAGTAAGTTACTCGCCTCTACACCCCAAGATAGAAGAATATCGACTAAGTAAGTAAGTTACTCGCCTCTACACACCAAGGTAGAAGAATATTGACTAAGTATTAAGCTACTCGCCTCTACACCCCAAGATAGAAAAATATCGACTAAGTATTAAGCTACTCGCCTCTACACCCCAAGGTAGAAGAATATCGACTAAGTATTAAGCTACTCGCCTCTACACCCCAAGGTAGAAGAATATCGACTAAGTATTAAGCTACTCGCCTCTACACCCCAAGGTAGAAGAGGATAGACTAAGTGAGTGAGTAAATCTTTTATTCGCCTCGACTTATTCCTTCAGTAATTCATATTTGTCACTTAAATGCAATAAAAGGCATGCCAAATAATTATAACAGTGGTCAGTCTTTTTTAAAGGCACACAGCAATATCATTAAAATTGTCAAGGGAAGCCGGACAAGCGTTTCATGCTCTATGTATAGACCATATTCATGTTATGCTTGTTAAAAACTAGTTTTTACTATATTTTTTCGTGTATAAGATGATATGTTTTCCCAAATTTTTAAAGTTTAAAATTGGGATTCACCATATACATGAAATGAATGTTGATTAAAATATGTACTTCAATTTTTCTGTGCCTTAAAAAAATGGATCTTATTCAATTAAAAAATATGGTATCTTTCCTCACTGAAAACTAAACTTATTTTTGGAAAGATGAGCGCAGATTGCCTGAAATACCAGATCAAAATAATTTTGAAAGGCAATTTTACGTTAAAAAATTTTTTTTTTAAAAACTGTACCCTTCCTAGTAATGTTTACATATGTGTATGAGTATGATCTATTATGTTAGTAATGCTAAATACCTTTAGTGGAACAAGAAGCAGGATCTACAAGGTTTTGGCAGTCTGGTTGGGATGCATATCTCTCTAAAGGACGAGGCTGTTGGGAGATGTTATTCAGTCCAGTTGTACTAGTGGCATGCTTGAGCTGGCCCCCCAAACCATGATCTGAACCTGAACTAATGAGCTTGTTATCTGACGGGCTGGATTCTAATAATTTCTGCTGACTGAGGGGTTGAATTCGTGCGACATTCCTCTGCTGGGAACCTGAACCAACCTTGAAATCTTCTTCTTGATACTGCTGCGCATGATGGTATCTTAGCTGCTGCGGTTGAGAAGTTGGTGGTGGCAGATGCTGTTTAAAGTCTGGGTTTGATGTTGTTCTTGCTGGCGGTGGTGGCGGAGGCCCACAACTGCTTTTTCTATTTATGCTGAGATTCTGAACATCTTGCATGACATTCTGAACATCTTGCTTGACTTTCTGAACAGTGGTTTGTTCAGTGGGTCTATAAGAGACAGCAGATGAAGCATGTGATGTCAACTGGCTGCCAGCTAGACTAGAATTAACCTGCACATTGTTCAACTGGGGACGAGTGTCTTGTTTCAAATTTTGTGACTGATAATATGCTTGCGAATAATGTTGAGAAGAGCTTCCAGGTGCAGCATAAGAGACATTAGGTGCAGATCCTTGCTGAACTGGTGCAGGTGTTGATCTGTGCCCAGGAAGTGGTTGGTTATATCCTGACACAGGCTGGGCAACTTTCCCTTCGAGTTTCTGCTGATTCAGCAAATTCTGCTGTTTCGCCTGTTGTTGATATGAAAATGGTGGGCACTGACTGACAGTAGTAGACTGTGGTAACATAAAGTGAGAATGCTGCGGAGGTTGCTGTAAAAGCTGAACACTTCCTGAGCTTTGCTGAGGACTAGAACCTGCACTGTGGATTGATGAGACAGTTGAATGGCAGTTAGAACTGCGCTGCTGGTGCAGCTGTTGCTGCTGTAAAACATGAGAACTTGTAGAAACATTTACACTGTGACTATTAGGAAACGACCTGTCAACATATGCACTGGCTGAATGGCTGTTAGATAATACATTATTTTCGGCATAAGTACTTCCACCATGTCCTGCACTGTCATTTAGAAGCCTCAGGCCCTGCTGAGATTTTGTATCTGGCAACTGCTGCCTTGAATCTCCTGACATACCATTACTGAATTTGTGAGACTGAACACCAAACTGCTGAGTCTGTCTATTTACAACATTGTTGTCTACAAGATCTCTCATTTCAGTCTGGTTCATTCTTTTCAGCACATTTCCATCACCACTAACACTATCAGATCCATTCATATTTGTAATATTTGACTGTTTGTTCAAGGATTTCTTGAAAGCATCAGAGTTTCCTGTAGGATCAGATGTTCTTCTTGGGTGTCTGCTTCTTGGTAGTGCTCCATATGAATCTAACGGCATAGGTAAGACTGATGTGCTTTGTGTGACATAAGTTGTTTCTGCAGGGCTCCGATTCTGCACAACTGGTTTGGATGAAGCCAGAGTCACTTGGCATGGCACAGAGACTGAAGATCTTGGAGAGCTGTTGCTTTCTGACCGTGAATGAGTGGACTCAGTGTCTGATTTGTCAGAAGCGGACGATCGAGCTACATGAGATCTAAGTCTGTGAGCTTGTAACTGGTCCAGCTGGCCAGAAAGAGAGTCTGGATTGCCATAAGAGGCTTGTGTATTCTGAGCTGGGGGCAAACAGGACTGCGGCCCAGCAAGTTTGTTTTCTTTCATTTGTGGTGCCACACTCAAAACTTTCTGTTGTACAGCAGACAGGGGCAGTTTCACAGCAGGACTTCCAGCTCTACCGTGCTGAATAAGTCCTGGTGCCGGTGATCCCCTGCTGGCAGCCAACAGTTGTTCTTTTGATGCAGCTCTACGTAAAGGCCTGTCACTGTTGTCTGAATCACTGCTAGTTATGCTTGACCTGAAAAGTAAAGGAAACTTCCAGATAACTAGCTAAAGAAAAATCTATTTGCAAAATTATCTATGCAACAAGTCTAGTGTTAAAGACATACAAGGAACATAAATTTATATTCAGTAACTGAATGGTTTACATACTGCCATTATAGCCAATATTTTACTAGCCACATTTTCTTATAATGATTAGGGCCCATTTCTTGTGGATGGGTTGACCCTATGCCTTACCACCAGAATGAATCACACTGTTAACTATTGTGTTGTTAGGCAAAGCTACAAACCCACTAATGTAAAGAGTTTTCTTTTTCTTTTGCATTTACCCTTAACTCTTTGAGTCCCAAGGAATGCATCATACATTTATAGTTTCCTACCTAGAAGCCCAGTGAATGCAAGATGCACCAATTTTATATCTCTCTTGAATACTCCTTGGGCCTCTGATGCTAAACCCCCTGGGAACTGAAAGAAAAGGGTGGTTTACAGCTAGACTGTGATATCTGCAGCTTTTGGTCCAATTTATCAAATTTAACAAATCATTTCTTAGTTGTCTTTAAGGACATGCTTGTTAAGGAGCAGTGGGTCTATTATTTGAATGATGATGATGATATCAGGCAGATTGGGAGAGCAACATCTTGCTGATCAAGACACAGTAGATCAAGTAGTTTGGCCGACTGTTTGTGCAGCAACATCAAAAAACATCACAGGCTGATCAGCTAAAGAGGACGACCATGAAGAAATATGGATCGACTACATTAAAGACACTTTACACCTTCATTGCTTAACAACAGCCCATGCCAGCCACAGGCAAATTATACAGATCACAAATTATTCCTCCCCATGATGCTTAATAGAAGAAGTGGTTTATGATGATGGGTCTATTACCCTCCTCCCCCCCCCCCCCCCCCCCCCACCAAATCCCAAATGTGGCCTTAAAATCCACACTGAGAAATGTAAATAGTAAACTTTTCTTTTATCCTTGTGGTCATTTTTGTTAAAAAACATCATTTTAATAGATAAATGATAAAGTATTCCCCTGCTTATAACTTGTAGAAAGTTTCAGTTGGAGGACAAACAAAATATTTGAGCAGAAAAATATTACTGCTGCATAAGAAATGTCGATCATATCAATCAAAATGATGCACCATCCAGTGAAACAAGTGTAGACTTTACCTTTTGCCTTCTGTCCCCTGGCTTGAGTTGCGCTTGAAAAGACTGCGAGATTTGAGAAGACATGCATTGTGCTTCTTCTGTGCATACACAAGAGCCTTGTTCGAAATGTCTGTTTGATTCATGGCTTCCTTCAAACAACCTGTCACAATATTTAAAAAAATGTAAAAGGTCAGTTCTATGTAACACAACGCTATGTGAGAAATTAAGGACCAATTTTAAAAATAAATAAATTATAATATCAGAAAATGTTTCTTGCTTGTACATTGTTGTTGAAGCAGGCAATATTATAGTAAGGACAGAGACATCCTAGGAATCAGACGGAACTTGACTTTTGATTGAACTTTTCGACATAACTACTACCAGATTAATATTCTCCTTTTTAAACAAGAAGACTACTTTAGCAGGGAGACAAAACCTGCTAAAAGAAAAACCAGGTCATGTGACTGGAGACTTCCTTCTCATTGGACACAACAACCCAGTGTTATATGTGACTGAAGAAGGCTATTATTATCAAACAGCACCGGTTCATTCTACTTGTCCACACTCAGTTGACTGCAAAACTTTATTACTACTACTCACTACAGTCCTCACAAATACAAAAGTCTGGACGTTTTATGAACAAAGACGAAGTAGAACTGGTCATATTTGCAAGAAAACATCCATTATATAACTGACAAGCAGCAGAGAGTTTCCATCAGAAAACAAAAACACAAAATGATACTGATAGAACATCATAAGAATACTACAAAAGAAAAGTATTTAAGAAGAAGAAGAAAAGTCCAAGCCTGCACAGTCCATGGAGATAGCACTAACCATGCAGCCCTAAATCCTGAGCCTGCTTAAAGACTTCCCTGTCTACACCATTGAAATTGGTAAATGTAGGCAGTAATTGGGAGTGTTTTTTTTTTTTGGGGGGGGGGGGGGGGGGGGGGGGGAGCTGGCCACTGAAATCAGAGCACAAACATCACACTGTATTCAGCTCCATATGTCCAAGACAGGCACAGTGAGAAAAGAACTGGAGACTGGACCAGCACACCTTCCCTCTTTAAAAAAAAAAGACAAGTTACACAAAAGGAAAAGTAATAATTAATAACTGATGTGTGTGAGGACTGGGGGGGAAAAAAGGGGGGGGGGGGCTGTTTTAGTCATTAGTGGTATGCCATGAAAGAGCCCTCAACTAAGAAACTAAACATTTTTCCATAGTCTGGGATCTCTTTAATGAGGCGCTAATCTTTTAAATGATTTTGTTTTTTAAGTATTACTACACAGAGGTATCATTTTTATTCAGTCTTTGGGTGAAGGCATATGAACAATGGTTTAAACTAGTCAGCAGACAGTCAAACACTGAATGTGTTCTACCCACTGTAGATATCTGGAGAACAATGGCTTTAAAACAACTCACCCAAGGCACTGTCACAGTAGCGAAGAGCTCCAGTTAGATCTCCTTTTGTTTCTGCAATGATACAGCTGTCCATCAAATCATCAGCCTTCGTACACATCGAAATGAAATAGTCATTCTCCACTTCTGAAAGTTTATTTTGAGAAACATAATAAATATTTATAAATGCAAGTTAACATGAATTTAGAATACAAACTTCATTTTAAATAATTTAAAACACAAGATTAGGACTTCTAATGCATAAAAACACTGGTAAGGTAATTAATTGTACTGTATAGGGACCCACATGATCAAAGGAATAAGGGCAGACCAAAATATACACAGACAAGAGAACTAGAGAATGAGCTTAAACAGAGGGTAAGACATGGGATGAGCTGCAAGACTTGGAATGGGTTGAGGGTATCTACTCTACTGGGTAGTAAAAGGGGAAACAAGAATTAGATTTGCATCGATGTAATGTATACTTTGGGTGGTTTCTTCTTCTTCTTCTTCATGTTCCCCAGCTGTAAATTCCATTGAAAGTTAGGGTTATTTGTCCAATTCTTGACTATGGTCTTGTTCCAGAACTTGGATTTTACACGCTCATCAGTTTTACGGATCTGACTTATTTGTAAGGATGGTTGTTGTCTGTTCTCCCCCCCCCCCCCCCCTCCCAAATAGCACCCTGGAACCCATACAGGTAACTTGAAATGTGATATTTAATCTATTTTTTTCAGAGGCCAAACTGTACATGTCCAGACTAGCGGCTCCTAATGTCCAGACAGAAACACTGGTACTGCTTTATGAAGCTGTGTTAATCCTTGAGTCATAATGTGTTCACAAATTCTACTATTAGTGGGGATAATACTCGTTTACTATTTCAGGTGTCAAGAGAGATACATGGTTATGGTTCTCGCTCTTCTGGTCACATTAACAACAGACACTTAATATCTTGTAGTTACTCTAACATTGTGTCTCCACCTTGTTCTGATCTACCTTAGCTCCACATATCTCTCATCATATTTTATATGGCATCATAAGGTATTCTCTATAAGTAGGCAAACCATAATATTTATTACTTTGTATGTAATTCAATACTGTTACTATGCCAATCTGTTTCTCTTATGACCAGATTTATGTCTAGAAAGATGGAGAAAGAACCACTACACCACAACAGCTAAGACAAAATAAAATGTTAATAGAATTTAAATGCATGAAAATTAATAGTTACATACCATCATTGTCTAGACTGTCAATTGATGGTTCTTTCTGGTGGGATGACTTCGAAACTTGGAAGGCTGCAAAATCTGCACAAAACAATTTAAAAAAATGATTTAAAAGCACATAAAATGCATTATATCTAATACATCATCATAAATCTTAAAATGTTTAATTGTTGGAATGATTGTAGTTTTATATCAGAATATGAGTATTTTTATATTTAACTGATGCTGAACAGATTGAAAAAATCAATTGCTGGAACATTTTTTTAACCTCTTTTGTGCCAATCATAACATGCCTGCCAATTCCTGTAGTGTGACTAGTTTCAAATTTACTTGGCCCACTTGCTGTACAAAGAGGGCGCTGCATGGTCTTGAGGCATGGTGTCCGCCTTGAGTGCTACAAGTGCAGAGTTCAATCCCCGGTAAGGGCTGGGATTTTTTTCACATGGACTTGGACTTCTAGTAATTTTCCCTGGTCTCTAGGTAGTGAGATCGGACGCCCATGTGCAGAGCTTCTTCGGACTCAGACTTGAGTTAGAAGTAGAACGTAGAACTTATGGATTACAACCCATGTGCCATAATGTTGATCCATTGTTCAAACCTCAAACTTCTGTACAAAGTTGGAAATTTTCACAAAGCCATTGGTTTCTAATGGTATCATACATCCCCTATGACTTCTTATGAAGTGAGATTAAAAATATCTTCACTGCTCAGATAAATGTGAAAAAACAGTAGGACCAGATATGCAGGTCATACATGTTAAACATTCTGTGGCTTTTGAACACACAAAGAATATACTGCTCTGGAAAAAATATTTATGGAAACACCTTACTTACATGTAGACAGAGCTAAGTATTATAGTTTGAGGTTTGAACACCGGTCAACATTATGGCACACAGGTAGTAACCCATAAGTGCTCCGTTCTTTCTTCTAACTCAAGTCTGAGTCCGAAAAAACTCAGCACCAGTGCACAGGCTCTGTAGCACTGGCAAGGATCCTGAAATATTTTGGGTAGATTTTTAACTCGAAATTGTGCCCGTGCCGCGCTGTAGGCTACACATTTTGATTTCCAACTGCTAAGGGATTTTTTTAACGTGCCCAACAATGCAGACGGGCGTCCGATCTCACTACCCAGAGACCAGGGGGAGTTACTAGAAGTCCAAGTCAATGTGAAAAAATCCCAGCCCTTACCGGGGATTGAACCTGGAACCTCTAGCACTTAAGGCGGACACCATGCCTCAAGACCATGCAACCCCCATAAAGTATTATATTAATAAATAATGGTGTAAAATTAATCTTGGAATGTTTGATTTGATTTGATTCAAGAATTGACATCACAGCACTTGGAGCATTCCCATAAGTGCCCCATCCCCATCTTCAGCAGCCAGCAAAGAGTTACAATACTAATGGTGCCAGTAGCATTCTGATTAAATGTCCGTCTTGCCTTTCCTCTGAGCCTCGAGCATCTGCCAGAACCTCTTGTCACTCCCCCCTGCATCAATCTCACGAGACTCTGGTGATCCATCTGCTCCTCCGAACTGTACACGCTCTCCCACAAGGCACTTTTTACGTCTGCCTTATCATGTATCAGTATTCCACCAAAGCTGTGCAGAACCAATGTTATATTATATGTTATATTTTAATGGAAAGTGTGAACAAAGAAGATACTTTATACATACTTTTAGGAGGAATAATAGGTATTCTTCCTTCCTTGCTTAGAGCATCTGTGGCTAATGGAGATTCTACTCTCGCTGGAGTTGAAACTGGAGTCAAGTCCTTAGGAATTACTTTTAGAATGTCTTCCTGGCTACTCTCTTTGATTGGGTGCATCACCTGTCATTTAGTTTCAAATGTATTATATTTCAGAATACAAAGTTAATTTTTTAGAATGAATATCTTACTGAAATAGTCAACAACATGACAACTGAGAGAGCTGACTAAAAGGGGGCCTATCAGCTTGCTTATATATATATATATATATATATATATATATATATATATATATGTATATATATATATATATATATATATATATATATATATATATATATATATATATATATATATATATATGTATGTATGTAATATATATATAGACACAATTACGAAGACAAAGAATTTGGAAGCAACAGATGTTATTTTTGAGACAAATGTTACGAATACCTTGGACAGCCAGAGTAACTAACAACGATTGTTTGAAAGAAGCTAATGAAAGCAGATCTCTATATACAACAATAAGAAAGAGACAAACACTGTTCTTTGGCCACATAATGAGAAGAGAGACATTGGAGAACATCTTGACAACTGGAAAGATCAGTGGAAAAAGGGGTAGAGGCAGACCAAGAGAGATGATGGGTGGGGTGAAACAATGGCATGGAGGGATATCATCAAGAAAGCTGTTCCAGGCAACCAGGGATCGTGATCTGTGGAGATGCTTGAGCGCCTAAGCCAGTTGGCAGGACACATGATGGTGATGATATATATATATATATATACACACACACACATAAACACACACATAGTATACATACACCCATCTGCCCACACAGACAGACAGACACAATTAGGCTATAGCATTAGGAAGTTGGATGACCAGCTTTTTTCTTGCTACTATTCTTACCAGAAAAATATCATGTACCCAAGGCTGGATCATTCCTAGTATTGAATCCAGGCTGAACTAACTTCATCTTTAATAAATTCATCCATTTTTTCCTTTCTGGTCTAAAATGAGAAAGTCTCAATCTGGATGGTAAGCCAAAAGGGAAAATCCTAGATCCCCTGTTCAACCCACAAAGAAGTTATAGCTAGGGTATTCATAATGGTTAAACCAGGCTGGCTTGCAGTTTAGCGCAGGTAACACAATTTAATACCATCAGATAGGGGATAAATTTAAATACTGTGAATAATAGTTCACAACAAATTACACATGTAACAACTCTTTGTAATTTCAGTCAGAAGAAAGAGAAAAACACATTCACTTACACTTGTCTGAGATATCTAATTTTACTTAGGTTGTAACAGCATACAGAACAATATATTTTCTTTGAGCACTGAAAGTTGTACTTATATTAGTTACCCATTCAGTTAGCCAATCAACTCACTTTATTATTAATTCCTTTTTTGGCATGGTTTTTTAACTCCTTGTAAGTAAAGAAAAAGAAAGATCACTTTTCACGCCTTAGGCATATCGGGTTTATTGGAAGCCCATATGTTAAGACCATCGGCACTAGGTGGGTATTGTGGTCAGCATTACACCGGCCATTTTTACTTCCCCAGGACAGCCATCCTGGTATCCATTTTAGGCTAGGTCGACCTGCGACGCTACTTGTAGTCCACCCATTTGTTCAATAAACCCATACTGTTTCATTTGTTACTTTAATCACTTTCACACCCATGATTTTATTATATGAACTCCAATAGACTTAAAACGTTATCAGTTTCAAAATAACCACTGCTCTGTGTACAGTAAAAAACCATTATTACACAAACCATATTTCTATAGACTAATCGACACTCAGTGGGTCATGTGATTGCCATTACTTCCCAAGATACGACCGAGCAACCAGTTAAGGCTAAATCAACCTGGAGGCCAAAATGAATTTTTAAAAATAAATATTTCTGGATGCATATTTGAACCCAAAACCTCTGGGCTGGCAGGCAAGCATTCAGCCACTGCGCTACCCTGGCTATGACTAAACTTTTCTTAGTTGCAGCGCCTTTTTTCAATTACAATTTTTCCACAGTGCCCTAACCTAAGTAAACCTATGACTATTCATATGTAAGAGATAGAAACAAATTAAACTTGTGTATCTTCGAATGTTTCATTGCGCCCCTGTGAAGAGGTTGTGGCTCCCCGGGGCACCGTGGCACAGTTTTGGAATCACTGGCTTTGGGTATACAAAACACCATTGTTAGGTACCAAAAGAGCTGAACACGCTGTAGTACATATTTTCAAAGTTATCTTCTAAATCTGTAGTAAGTCCAGGCTGATTACCTTTCTCTGTGTTAAGGTCTCAAACAAAAGCTGATTTCTTCCTTCCTTTGCTCTGCTACCGAGGTCCTTGCGTTGAGCATCAGGGTGACTGATGCTGGCATTATACACCTGAGGTTTTGGAGTGGAGAAGTCACTAATCATCTGGTGAGAGGGATGTTGAAGAAGCTGAGGATAAGAGATCGAATCATGTCTACAGCAAGGTGTCTAAAACACACAGAAAATACTGATATGACGATGACTACTGTAGATTATGAGTGGGGTTTTCTTTTTTTTTTTTCTTTACATTCACTGGCTGGAAACTCTGGCAAATTCTGGTTGCTTGTCCACTTCTGGACTTTAGCTTTGTTCCAAAATCTGAGTTTTCCATGCACATCTGTTTTACAGATCTGGCTTATTTGTATGCAGACTGTATGTTCCTTACCTCTCAGAATGATGCATACTGACTTCGAAGGAAACAAAATGATCCAGAGAACAAGGGACCTTGATCTGTGGAGATGCATGAATGCTTATGCCAGTCGTGATGACCTACTGAGTGCTGGACTACAAACTATCCCTCCCCATGATGCCTGATGGCAAAAACGGATGAAGAAAATGATGTTAACTCTTTGGGAACCGAGCAACACGCCATGCACTTCTTGGATAACCTCAAAAACAACATACTGTTTGCATTCCTCTATGACAAAATACATGCTACCTTAACAAACTACCTGGTTTGTAAAGTTACCGTCTATCGTCTCATAATGTATGTAACTTGTATAACTCCTTCAGACAGACAGACTTGCTAAAAATGGAACAAAGGAGAAGCAACACACGCATACATGTCATTACCAGAAATCAGAACACTTATCAAGGAATAATACAAGGAACTTACAGTAAACATCCACAAGACCCCATCAGCAAACTCAACAGAAAGCAACATACAACAATTTTCTGTCTACAAACAGGACACTGCAGGCTCAACTACCACATGCATAAAATAGATTGTAGTCCCCCGCAGTGTGCCTGTCAAACAGGGCAACAAAGAACTGAGCACATTCTGCAGACCTGCCCACTCTACATACAACTTTAAAAAACACCTGACCTCAAGAGAAAAATGTACATAGCAAGCTATAGGGAACCGCTACTGACATGAGAGTTCATAGAGACAACCCACCAGATGGTCTGATTAGAGCATACCAAACCAAACGCAAAAAAGAAAAAAAATAAGAGGTATAACTCCTTCAGAACTTAATCACTGAATGCTCTTAAGTATAACATCTTAGAATATAATAAGTTTAAGTAACAACTGCCTAGGACTGTAAGTGTAAATAATATTCATGGACAATATTGATAATGATGCATTTAATACTTTTATACTTACATTTGGATGTATGTTTCTGGGCACCACCATGCTCTTACTGATAAAGTACTGAATGTATGGGTCCACAGTACCACTGCCTGCCGAGCTGGAGCTGTTTCTGTCACTGCTGCCATAACCAGAGTCCTTGTGAGAGCCGATGGAAACATTGTCAAAGGATGTGTCTGTAGGAAGACCACCTTCACTCTTCTTGCTGGCTATAAGTTTACCCATGATGCTGTTTGATTCAGCGCTGGAGGAACTGTTTGAGCTGTGGGTTGAGTGATTCCTCTGCAGCCCTTGATGCTTTAGTATTGATTCAACCATACTGCGATTAATATATGTTATTTTATCTTCAACAATCTCTCTGGGTTGCTGCATATCATCGCTGCTGTTTGAAAGATGAAGATAAGGCTTGACTATTCCAGACAAATCAGGTTGTGATCTTGAAAGTTCAGACCTCAGTTTCTTCTCAGCTTTCTTCATTTCCTTCTTTGTTAATTTCTTTCCCTTCTTGTCAGCTTCTGCAGCTTTTCCAACCACTGCTGAAACTGGTACAGGTGGTGGACGTCCAAGAACATTCTGGATGTTTCTCTGATCTTCAACAGAGAACAAATGACCATTGATGCCTTGCTGGTTATTAACTGTTCTTGAGAGATCTTTTGAAGGTTCTTTCTTTGTTCTAGGAAGTGTAGCTAGGCCTGACTGTACTGCTGTGTGTGACTGAGACAGGCCTTCTATCTGATCGTAGTTCTGAGAGTTTGCCATAGGCTTGATTATCACATGCTGAGAATAGCCTTCATTGTGCATATTACTAACAATTTCATCATCATTTTGTGAAATAGATCTCTGCCTAAAGTTTGAGGGATCTCTATTCTGATAAGTTACAGATGATGAACCATTCTTAGATGCCACATTTGCAGAATGGTTGGAGGCTTGATATAAGTAATCATAAGCTTGTGTTTGGTATTGCATATAGTTGGATGAAGCAGTGTCCTGTGCTCCTGAGGTATCAAGATACCTCACAACATCTGCCCTAATGGGCTCTTTCTTAGAGGTATCTTTTCTTTCATTACCTTTTATGTTTGGAGTCAGTGGAAGCCTGGCTGGCTCAAAACCTTCCATAGAAGGTCTCCTATACTGACCACTGGCGGATAATGTATAGTCTGAATAATTCTCTCTTTCGTCTGACAAAGGTTGTCCAGAACTTCCATGATAGAATAAACCATCATTTTGATCAACCATAGGACCTGGTGTACAGCCACTACTACTAGCCTGACCTCCAAATCTTAGTGGATGCTTAATCTTGTCTGGTTTAGGGGACATTGCCATTATAAAACTCTGCTGCCGGCTATGATCAAAGACTTTGGCAGACGGTTCCCCATTTTCCCGCTCACTGGCACTCGGGGTGACAGATCTTGCCCTGGGAAGAAGCACCTGTCTTTTCAGCTGGTTTGCTGAATCTGGGTTGGGGGTCCATGACCTGTGGTAGGAATGCTGACTTGAAATGCTTTCCTGTGATCTGTCCAAGCCACTTTCATCATCAGCACCACCTACAAGACATAATGCAAAGCCTATTAAACATGTAATTTTGTTACAGGTGCACTGTTTCCAAACAATAAGTCAGAACGAAACACAGCAAACTGCTGTCTGTATGCGTCATTAATTAATTAATGCATAATTAATTCACTAATTAATCCCCACACATACAACCTATCCCCCCCCCCCCCCCCCCACATTTTTTTTAAACAAAATATCTTTTCAAGGCTAACCTGGAATTCCAAAGCCAGGTGCCATTGTTCTCTTCTTTGGTGCAGTCTCTACAGTAACAGGGCTGGCATTCGGGTTTGCATACAACAACAACAATGGCTGGTATCTGCCTTTGCTGCATTTATCCACGACATCATCCCAGCACTTGCCAATCTGCATAGAAATTTACAGTAAATGTTCACTGTTATAATGCACATTTATGTGACTGTGTTTTAAACTGACTGCTGTAAAGTAATAAACACAATTAAAATATTACTAATAAACTTTATGTATATACTGGAAAACTGTCAGTCTGTTAATTAGTTTCACATTAGATTCTCTGTCCTTTTCTCCACACGATGTACACAATACATTGCTAACTTCTTTGTCTTATAACTTATGAAACAAGCCATTTAATATTATCACAAACAAAAATAAACATTAAAAATTAAAAATCTCTTTAAGCTGCTTTTATAAATGATTCTATTTAAAAATGAGAAACTGTTGCTATCTAACCTCTCGGACAGTTGCATCATCAAAGTAGATCCACACCTGCAGCTTGCTATGGAACACAAATGTGGAGTAGTGTTTACCGTAATAACACACCAGCCCTACTAAGTGAAGCTTTGGGAGGGTTCGCAAGTCCTGCATCACTGAATGGAACACCTTTGGACAAAGGGAATAAATTTAACTGATAAAAAATTGCTAAATAACTATCAATCCTTGTGTTTTTAAGACTCACATTTCTATGTAACCACAGTGTTACACAGCCATATGTTGACAATATTGTTACATTGTGAAAATGTCAGTGACTAAATTTTTGCCTGCTAGCCTGAAGATTTTGGTATCTAATTCTGGAGCTCCTGGTAAACCTAACCTAAACTAGATACTAGGAAATGTTCTAGGAGGTAAAGGGGGTTAATCTGATGCTGAACCACTTTACTTATCATCTGCCAGATTGGTCTATAAAAAAAATATGGGTCTAGCACTATATATCCAATGTGAATGGCATGAATATAAAATTGGGGAGGGTGGATGGGGGGGAGGGGGGGGGGCTTAAGGTTTGCTGTTAACTTACCAAATATAAGTTTCTTCAGTATAAATTTGCTATGCTGCCACATACATGAATTGTAACGACATTTTCATGACATGTAGTGTAGTTCACGAATGAGTAAGCACATGTGAGGTAGGGAGCAAGCACGCACGTGCTTGCATGTGTGCGAGAGAGAGAAATTAATCATTTGACAACTAATGTTGTTAATACCATATATTTTTTTAATATTTCCTGATTTACACAGACCAAGAAGATGAAGATATAATATACATGCAGACCTAAAAACACTTGGAGTCACCAAAGAAAAGACCAATGGTGTATGTTGGATTAACACAGCACAGCACTCGGGACACTCCCATAAGTGCTCAGTCCCCATCCTCAGCAGCAAGCGAAGAGTTCCAATTCTGATGGCACCATAACCGTCTGACTGTATATCCGTCTCATACTTTCCCTAAGTGAGCATCGGCCAGATACCCTGGTAACTCCTCGCAGCGCCATTCTCCTTAGACTGTAATGATCTATATGTGCCTCCGCACTGTTCACTCGCTCCTAAAGGGCTATCACAATATCTAACTTGTCATACATCAATTGACCACCAAGTGGTGCAGAGCCAGCCAGTCTATCTGTCTGCTCATTTCCCAACACACCAGCATGACCTAAGAAAAGACTAATAAGAGAGGTGAATCAAGAAGGGTGATATCTGCAGTAGTGTATGTGAAAGGCCCCAGAATGCTAAAGAAGAAGAAAGTATATATACATATAAGGCAAAGATGCACTTTACAGCAGATGTCTTTCATAGTAAACACACTTCTCTAAAAATAAACTGCTCCAATACAATCACTCACATCTTGCAAAAGAATGGCTGTGCCAATGTTCCTGGCAACTTCTGTAGTAGTCTCCACTGTAGGGTGATCAGAGTCCCAAACCAAACCGATACTCACTGAAATAGTTATCATGATTAGTTCACTTCCTGATACATCTGAATCAAAGTAAACTGCTTTTGAAATATTACAGTATATATGTATATATATATATGTATGTGAGTATATATTTATGTGTATATGTATGCCTATGTATTTATTTGTATATATATATATTAAACGTTGACAGGTTGTTACACTACAAATACTGTTCGTTTACAAAGAATTATTTAAATATTGCTCTGTGACTCCAAAAGATCTGAAATTAATTTACTGTTTGAGAAGAAGACATTTAAAAAATAAAGCAACATATTTCTCTCAACAATTACTGTCTTATGAATAATCTTGTAATTTGTGCTATCATTCTGCACAACATATAATACAATGTAATATCAAATACAGTTAAGAAAGGTATATTATCAGGCTGTATAAAACAAGCCTAGATGTCATACTAAGGAAGGATGCCTGCAGGATCTGAAGTAGACAGTACAGTTCATGCAGGAAATACAATTTCAGATATAGGCTGATTCATACATATGAAAAGAAAAAGAAGAAGATAATAATAATAATAATAATAATAATAATAATAAGAAGAAGAAGAAGAAGAGGAAGAAGACGAAGAAGAAAGAAGAAGAGGAGGAGGTGAAGAAGAAGAAGAAGAAGAAGAAGAAGAAGAAGAAGAAGAAGAAGAAGAAGAAGAAGAAGAAGAAGAAGAAGAAGAAGAAGAAGAAAAAGAAGAAAAGAAAAAGAAGAAGAAGAAGAAGAAGAAGAAGAAGAAGAAGAAGAAGAAGAAGAAGAAGAAGAAGAAGAAGAAGAAGAAGAAGAAGAAGAAGAAGAAGAAGAAGAAGAAGAAAAAGAAGAAGAAGAAGAAGAAGAAGAAGAAGAAGAAGAAGAAGAACAAGAACAAGAAGAAGAAGAAGAAGAAGAAGAAGAAGAAGAAGAAGAAGAAGAAGAAGAAGACCAACAACAACATCATCAACAACAACAAGACAACATATGTGTATCCAAAAAGTATTTATGAACATGAAGGCATTTGCAAGATAAAGAAGACACTAAGTTAAAACTGTACAATGTGACTCACCAACATCTGGAGCATTCAGCAAAGTTCTCCTGATCTGCACACTTTTGCCACACCCACCCTGACATTAAAAATACATACACATCCAAGATAAAGTTTTGTATTTTACACATTGTTTTTCACAGTATAAATACTTAAAAAAAAAAAATTTAATTTAGTGAAATCTAGTTCCGAAAATGGTCTTTCATTACAAACATTTTCCCAGAAGAAACTATAAGATCAGTAGCATGGCAACTGAAGAAGACAGATTTCTCATACTATATTTTCTTTCATAATGTCTGTTGTTAGTTATTTGTGTTTACCAGCTTTAAACTCCAGCAGAAGGTCCTTGTTTTTATTTGTGAACTTTGGCTCTGTTCCAGGTCTTGAGCTGTTTTACAGATTTGGCTTATTTGTGTGCAGTCCTGTTTCATTGCTTTCAGATAGATGCACTTTTCTATAATAAGCTGCTAGCACAGTGAAGTCATAGAGCAAAAAGTTCTGTCACAAATATACATTCTTACTAACTAATCTGTTATACACAAGAAATCTCAATTTTCTTTACAACATTCATTTTGTTTTTCTCATTAAATACCAGGCTGTTGTATTTGAAGAAGTGTTTATAAACTGTGTACTTTTTTCTTTTCTATACTCCTAGAATGCCTTGCAGCATCAGGGCAGGAAGAAATATCCTGAACAACCCTTCTGTTAACTTCATATAAAGTACTGTTCAGTGTCTGTTATTTCAGTGGTCCATCTTCTGCATGGTCGCCCTCTGGCTCTGTTACTGCTGTATTTGAACAACACACATGGCTCTCGGTGGTGCCATGTCTGTTGCCAGTCTTGTTAGATGGCCAAACCATTTGATTAGTTGTCTACTGATGAAATGTGGTATTAGTTGTATGCTGACTCGCCTGATATCACTGTTCCTAAGCTGATCTTTCCTAGTTACACCTGGCATGATATGAAAACATTTCATTTCTGTCATGACTATATCTGTATGCTTATCCCTTTTATTCTGCTATGTTTTGAAGATGAGTTATATACAAAAAAAAAGCATAATATATATTGGGGGAATTAACTTACAGGACAATCTCTGATGTCTCCCATTGCATTAGCATTTCTCAAAAGTAATCCAAATCTGTCTGGATGCAGCATATCCCCGGTTTCCTGCATGACTTTGGCCTGGGATCTGCAAGAGATTGATGAATGCACAATGTAGAAATAACGGAATAATATTAATTCTGTTTTATCTTCTTCTTCTTCCCGTTCACCAGCTGTAAGCTCTGACGGAAAGTTCTGGTTGTTCATCCACTTCTGGACTCCAGTCCTGTTCCAGAACCTGAGTGTTGCGTGTACATCCATTTCACAGGTCTGACTTATTTGCATGCAGACTGTTGGTTGCTTGCCTCTCAGGCAGATGTACTCCATCTTCGAAGGAATGATTCTGTTTTATATAACTTTGCACACAATAAGAACTGGCTAGTCATTGCAACAAAAATATACGTTACTGCATAGGATTTTAAAGAATAAATAAAATTTTAAAGAATTTTTTGGGCTATATTTTTAAATGGTCCATTTTTCAAAGCCCTCAAGGTATTGGGCATATACCTAAATATATATTTTATAGACCAGTCAGTCAACATCACAAAAGCCCCCTTCACTTCCCAGGACTCTACCCAGTACCATTTTATGGCTGGGTTGACCTGGGAGCCAAGGTCATTATGGGGGGAAAAATCTGGCTCCATCAGGACCTCAACGCATGACTTTTGGACCTACAGGCGAGTATCACAAGTATGTATGTTTTGGGAAAACACAAAATCAATTCTTAAAACAATGAATACTTACATCAATGCTTTCGCTGAGATATAATGAACCATTTCAGTAAATTTAAGTGGACTAGAGCTGGCTCCACATGGGCAAACAACCTGGCAACATTAGAACAGTGCAAGTTAGTGACATTTCTTTCCATGGTGACATTCACTCCTTATCACTATTAAGTATGTAAATCAATCATGTTCATACAATTATTCTTTCCCATACACAAACACACACACAAACACGCACACGCACGCACGCAAATATATACACGCACTTAGAGAGTCTCTCTCTCTCTCTCTTAATGATATATCCAAGGATAATTTAAAACACTAGACAACAATGGCAAGTGTTCCTGTTGTGATATGAGTTGTCTCACCTTCTCAACAATATTGAGAGAAAACTTCTGGTGAGGTAGACAATGTGGAGCGGTGCAGGCATCTTCGTGGCAGTTGCTTGCTATATGAAAATGTATACGTCTCAAAATGTTCTCCTGGAAATAGACAAAGTCACATAAGATTATTGAAAGGGGTCAAATATAGCTGCAGATCTAAAGAGAATATTACAAATGCAATCTGTCAATGGTAGAAATACTTCTTCTTCTTTTGTCCTCTCACTGATAGAGGTTTTAACCCTAGTAGTCATCGACAGGAGGCGGGGATAACATTTGTGCACTACGGCAGTGTTCCTCAACATTTTTATACCCATGGTTCACCAAAACAGGAGAGACAGTTTCATGCCCCACCTGACAGCTAACTGTGCACAGAAACAAAAGCAAATCTAGAACAACAGTTTATCTGTTAAGTAAGATGTCATAAAATGACAGTTTTCAGTTACTTATAGGTTAGAAAATCAAATAAGTAGTTAGTGCTCTGCTTCTGATACACAAAGCACTACAATAACATCCATTACATTTATTATTATTATTATTTTATTACTGACATGGCTGAGAAAAAGTTTTCAGGGAAAAACCAACAATCAGATTTTTAAAAAATTCCGAGTGATATACAAAACGCAGGCAATGATTGCACTGTATGTTTGGACACAATAGTTACATCAGAAGACGTCTCAATCCTTTTTTCATGATGATCAAGTAAGATCTTGTGTCTTCCAAGAAGGGATCATTAATCCAAAGGGTACCTTTAAGCAAATGCTCTTTTTTAAGGAAAAAATTAACAGTGTTCTAACGGTTTTATGCCATTGAACAGGGTTTCTGGATTTGTAGATATGTGATTGTCATCAATCTTCATTCTTTGATCATGTGGTGAGAAGGAGAAAACTGGAGTACATCATGACAGTAGGAAAGTTGGAGAGGCAAAGGGACATGGAGAGAAAAGATGTTAGTTTGATATCATGGCATGGAGGATCATCTATGTCAGACTTGACTAAAAGAACATGAGACAGAAGGCTGTGGATAGATACGACTGCCAACGCCACATGGCATGGACTTTGAGAAGAAGAAGATTATCATCAAAGGTGTTGATTCTACAGACCTACCCTACCCTGCCACATGATAAAGCAGAAATTTCATGTGGCCCACCTGGACTTTTCCATGGCCCACCAATAGGCCACGAGAACACTGCTCTATGGGTCATTGGCAGACTACTCAATTTCTTTTGTAACCTCTCTGAAGCAGTATTCCTAAGAAAAAAATCTCTGGTGCTCCTTTTATGAGATAGGATTGATCTAGACTGGTAGTAAGGCAGGTTATGTTTTGTTGCCAGATACATTTTTTCATAACTCTTAGCATCTAATCTAGTTTTTATAAAACCCACTTGGCTCCAGTTGTTTCAATGTATTCAGCTCAACATGTTGATTATTGAACTCCCTCAGGTGTAAATGTTATTAGTTTCAAGCGATCGTTCTTTATTTTGAACCAGTTAAAGTTGATCTGTCTGGTACTGCATGAGTAAACATCCAAATCAGTGGTCCCCCACATTTGGTGGTGGGTTGGTGGGGGTGGGGGGGGGGGCGGGGGGGGGGGTGCTGTATCAAGCAAATTTGAAATTGGCGTGCAAGGTTGTACTTGTAAATAATAATTTGAGGATTTTCTGAGGCAAGGTGGGTCAATGAAAACAAAACAGTGCAGCCGGCTTGATGTGGACAGTGATCTTCATTGTGCATTGTCCAACATCAGCAACATTATTGCTTTTCAAAAAGCAAAAAATAGCAGATATCAAGACAAAACAGTGTCATCCATCACACTGAAATCTGGACCAAGTACCTAATCTAAATGGTGGGGTCTTGAGCCCGAGGTTTAGGACTGCATGAACAGTGCAGTTGCAACAAACCGTAATTTAGGGCTTTTATTTTTAGCCTAACTATAAACAAATCTTAATTAAAGCTTGACACGAGGTGGTTGACAATCTGTGCTGGTATGCTCCATAATGATGAGGTTGAAAGAAGAACAGCAAAGTGCCACATCATAGACAATCTGTGCTGGTATGCTCTATAATGATGAGGTTGAAAGAAGAACTGCAAAGTGCCACACCATAGTTTATTAGAATACTGACATTTTTTTAAACTGGTGGGGACAGTAAAAAAAATATTTATCGGGAATACGTCAGTTAATTAGGGAATTTTAAAAATATTTTTGTTTATACTTGTCATGGTGTTGATTTATGTAATGTGCCGATGAAGGCTGTATAACCACAATGTTCACTTGTCATTTGTGTTTGTGATATTGTGAAGCTGAGTGGTTCTACTTTTCGTTTGGTTTGATATCTTTTTAGAATACAGATAAATCAATGTCACAACTGTTTAATGTCCATGGAGCTGAAAATAGCCCAAGAGTGCGCGTAAACACTGCTGGGTAATCAATTATATGAAGATCGTATGAAAGGTTCTAATTTAAATGAAATAGCCAATAAATTAAAGGACTTTCAGAGGCAAGTGGGTCAATTTCGTCATACCAAGTATTTTAAACATAAGTCTTGGTCTCTCTCCCAAGAGCGGCTGTTTTCCCACCAACAGCTTCACATAAAACACGACACTCTATAAGCCCTAGCAATGACCCAAGGAATCTTCTCCAAGACATCTGTGCTCATGAACTGAAGAACAGTCCAAAACACACAGCGAATTACAGACTATGTTCAATTCTCCAACCCTGTGTGCTTTCACATTTAATGTATCTTCAATGTCTTGCAAGAGCCTTCACGGGGGTCGTTCTCTGTCTCGTTTTCCAGAAACTACTATCCATCACTGTGCTTCCAGGCCACCATGAGGCTAAACATGGTCAGAATACCTGTTTTCAGGACATGATGTTGTTTATGAGCCAGTTCTCCTAGATGTTAAGATCATGTAGGATGTTGTTTATGAGCCAGTTCTCCTAGATGTTAAGATCATGTAGGATGTTGTTTTTGAGCCAGTTCTCCTAGATGTTAAGATCATGTAGGATGTTGTTTATGAGCCAGTTCTCCTAGATGTTAAGATCATGTAGGATGTTGTTTTTGAGCCAGTTCTCCTGGATGTTAAGATCATGTAGGATGTTGTTTTTGAGCCAATTCTCCTGGATGTTAAGATCATGTAGGATGTTGTTTTTGAGCCAGTTCTCCTGGATGTTAAGATCATGTAGGATGTTGTTTTTGAGCCAGTTCTCCTGGATGTTAAGATCATGTAGGATGTTGTTTTTGAGCCAATTCTCCTGGATGTTAAGATCATGTAGGATGTTGTTTTTGAGCCAGTTCTCCTGGATGTTAAGATCATGTAGGATGTTGGGTGTTTTTTCTTCTTCATAGTCCATGCCATTCAAATTTTTTTTTGGGGGGGGGGGGGGGGGGGGTAACATTTTAATCAATTCGTAAACATGACCAACAGCTGTCAAGGGCGATCACATTAACAGTCTAGAATAACAATTGTTTTTTTTTTCTTCTTCTTCTTTGTTATTTTAACCTGTTGGTATTGAGTGCTAAGAAAATGAGGACAGTAATGTACTGAGCTCATCCTGAAGTAAATCGGACAGAGAATCAGTTAACAGGCACTAAAATAGGAACCACATGAACTGGGGAATTGAGGACGTTTAAGAGGAATCCTAAGACAGACACTTTTGACAGAGGTCAAAGGGGGCTGGGCTGAATCTGCCACCCTGCAGATGAGGAACACCCGTGGAGAGGTCCCGGAAACCCGTTTAACCGTTAGGTTATATTAGTTCTGGAACAAGACTACATACAGTCCAGAAGCGGATGAACAACAGAACTTTCTGCAGGAGTTAGCCCGCGAACGTTAAGAAGAAGACACTCATAACTCGCCGTGTAATTTCCAAAGCTTGGAGTTTCCTGTCTGCTTGAAGTTATCGCGAAATGTGTTCAAACATTTGGCTCCATTTTTACTTTCGGCCGACTGGTATTGTGTCCAAACAAACTCAGTATTTGCAGACACAAACACTCGCTTTCAGAACTATGCAAGTTCCTCTGAGACGACGCAAATATGACAGGACGTGCAAACAAACAAATGCTCATCTCTGAATATCTCTCATTTTCTGCTACAGCCTCGGTTACTTTGACTACAAAGCTCCAATAAACAATATTTACAAGGGAGACAAGGTTTCTGAAATATAACTGAGCCTTAGTAAAGTTTCTAGACGCTGGTTTTTGATAAAAAGCAATATCCCTGCTTTTATTATGCAATAAATATTTTATAGTTATTTTCAGTATTAAACTTTAGTTTCCTATGTGGCTTCTGGGACCCATTGGAAGGATATAAGGATAACTGACTAACTGTCCCTTAACAAGCAGGTTTAGAAGGTGACTAATTAAAGAAATGGTTAAGTCGGATGTGCTCCTCCAGAATGCGTAGATATCGCAACCTAGCTGTAAATCTGACACAACGTGCCAATTGCCTTTGTAATAGCCAACGTGGAAGCAGCAGCAGCAGCAGAAGAAGAAGCAGAAGAAGAAGAAGGGGGAGGAGGAGAATACAATGCAAAAGCATAGGTCTAAACAGAAAACACAAATATATTTCTACAAGAAGCTCAAGTGAGAAGGTTACACATGTAACTTGTCCTGTGGACACAGACGTGACTGAGGGAGAGGAAGCGGAAATAGCTAGAGGCAGTGTCTTGTCCGGTCAAACAGTGCAATGTAACAGTCCAGACATTGTCCGTCTGTGTGTCTTCCACCGTCATGAGTTGACTTCTGCCACGTCAGGGGTCCGCTAAAGTGACAGAAATGGCGAACGTATGCACTTTAACAACATCCTGTGCCTCCGTTTTCTTTTTAAATCTCAGTCTCTCTCTCTCTCTCTCTCTCTCTCTCTCTCTCTCTCTCTCTCTCTCTCTCTCTCTCTCTCTCTCTCTTTCTCTCACTGTGTGTGTGTTTGTTCAATTTTTCATTAACACTGTCTTGCAGTTTTATTCTTTTAAATACCTCTTTCTCTAATGTCTCTTCTTGCCTCTCTTTCAGTTCAAATTGGCATTTATTGTGTCCTTTTTTACTTTTTTGGAAAATATCTCTCTCTCTCTCTCTCTCTCTCTCTCTCTCTCTCTCTCTCTCTCTC